GCAGGGTACAAACTGATTAATTCTCTATGGCAGATCCACTGCTTTTTTATGTACTGTGGCTCCATTTCATTAAATTGTCAGGATATCTGGTGGTTGGGTTAGCCTGCCTGGACTTCTTCTTTCTCAAGGAATTTCTTTTCACTTGAATTAGTGAATTTCAGATACAAATTTCCTGTTGTTTGCTTTTGTTGAGGTATTTGATAAACATGCACACCAAATATCTTTAATGTAATTTAATATTGCTCATACTGTAAAATATACTGTGTTTTTTTTTTTTTTTAATGCGGAGCTGGTAAGTTAGAAGATGTGGATGTGTTTTTTTCTTTTCAAATACTCTGCTGTGTCTTAGGTTTTTTTGTATGGACAATTTATCTTTCGAAGCAGCTCAGTAAGCACATGTCTCTTAAGAAGTATGGACTAAAATAAGCAGATTATGTAGAAGGAATGCAGTTATAAGAGAGCACCTAGAGTGCATCTTGAGAGCCATTAAACCACTTGAGCAGCTAAGTGAACTGATAGCACTGTTTACTTTAGTCTTCAAAAGTGTTCACCCATTTGTTAATTAAATTACAAAATAAATAAAGGGCAGATGATAAATATTCATGTATAGGCCTTGAAGAGGGATTGGAATATTGGTCATTTCAAGACAAAACTAGGGGTTTTGTGTGTGTGTGTGTGTGTGTTTGTACAGATGTCTTGAAAAAGTAGTCTGACTGTGATTCGTGTTGGGGAACCATTTAGGAGAAACATTCTTCAAAGAAATATGTCTATGAAAGAAATATATGGACGCTTATGAAGCCATAGTGTTTTGCAATTGCTTCTAAATTACATGTCCTGTGTCTGGCTACAGTTTGCAGGTCAAAGAGAGAAGTACAGCTGTGTTCATGGATAAACTGGTATTTGCACATCATGCAGTATTTATATCTTCTTGTGATTAGCTTTTGTCCAAAGTCTCTAGCTCTCTTCAGAGGAGCTTGGAAGTGCGAGTTGTACTCTTCTAAAGTTTTTTGTCCGGGCCGCACATCAGCTGCATAACTCGGTAAATGATCAAAAATCTGTTCGGTTTTCTGATTAAGAGACTCTGAGTACATAGTAGAAGCCAAACACAATCTAAAGTATTGTCCTATGAGGAGAAGAGGGAGTAAGTGATCAAGGAAATGTGCACTGAGTCTCTAAGGGCACCTGCTAGAACGGTCTCCTTTTCTACAGATTTAGTTCTGGAGAACGTGTACGTAAGTTGGCAGAAGCTTCTGTTCTTTCCTGAAGTGACTGATGAGTGTACTTACCCTATCATCTCTGATTCTTAGAGTAGAGTCTGCTTATCTCCCTGTCCAGTTTATTCCTTACAGAAAGGAGGACTCCCTTTGAAACCTGAACCGTTGGATGGCTGACCTGTTTTAGGCACGTTGGTATTCTCTCCATGCTGTCCTTGAACTCTTCTTCAGTAGTTTTAGGTGTCTGCCTTCCAGTTAATGCACCTTCTAGATAAGACTAAGATCTTGATAGATTTTAAACGTAGTAACAGGCACTTGCTGTCGTAACAGTCATTTACTGTTACAACCAAATAAGATTAATTTATTAGAATTGTACAGAAGATTCTCTTTATGGTCTGTTTAACTTTAAGAAAGCAACGAGGATCCTAATATTTTTAAAACTTACTCTGGATGATCTGATACATAAGGTTTTGGTTTGGCTTCAACTTTTGAGTCCATGCAGATTTCAGCAAATTTGTCACTGGGCATATTTTAAAGGTTCTTAAAATACGAGTCATACCTTTACTTAGGCCTATGATTATTTTCTTTTCAAGTATTCAGCAAACTTACTTCAAGAAATGTCTTTACCTTTTAATGGAATGATGATGTAGTTTTTCACTGTTGTTGGTGTTGAAGTTACACATTTGTTTTCCCATACTGCACTTGTATTTCTTCTCCAACTTACAAATATCTCATACCTCTTCTTATTGTTTGCTTTTATGTTAGCTGGGATTTCCCATTGAGAAATCAGTTCAGACTGGCAGTGGCAGTAGGGAATTTCCCAGCTGAACTAGCACCAGAGATCTGAGATAGAAAGCTCTGAGTCAATACAAATGTAACTAGAGCTATATCTGCTCTATTAATTTTGTGGCCAAATTAAGTAACACTTCGACTTTTTCAATTTTCTTTCTACTTCTATGAAAATGTCTAGATAACAAAATCAAGCAGGTACCCTGCTATCTAGAAGCAGGACTAAATATGAAGAGTTCTGCTACAAGTCAGCACGAATAGCCTGGTGTTCATTTTTCTCACTCTATCCTCTTCTCCATCTCCTACTCCCTACCCCATCTCTCTTCTTATATACATGTTGAACACTGGATATGTTAATGGCTGCGGTTAAGATTTTTAAGCCACGGGCATTGTCAAAATCCTTACAAGTTGTGATCAAGTTCAGCAAGGCCATATTAACAATTCCCATGTTGAACTTCAGTGACAATTAGTTGATTGCTCTGGTGGAAAGGTGAAAATGCAATTGATGAGTTTTTAGATTAGCCTCTAATGAAGTAATCTGTGTTGGATGGATGTAAACTTCGTTCTGACCTTTGAACTGTCTAAAAGCTATGTAGCTACAGTTAACGGGGCGGTGAGGTGGTAAATGGCACTGAAGGGCTGGGCTCAGCCCAGGAGCAGTGCAGCCCCGGGCTGGTCAGTTCTGAGCATTTGGCAAATGGAGAGAAGTCCTAGGCACGGCTGGAAATTGTGCATAGTTACATACACTTTTATCCTTAAATCATTCACTTGTATAATGATGAAACAGTGACTTTAAATTTAAAGTCTTAGTAAGCACTTGTACATATGTTATTTACTTTGCAGCGTTGATAGAAATCAAAGATGGGGGAAAGTTGGGCAGATCTAAACTCACCTGTACTTAACTGAGTAATTACACTTTAAAAATGAAATTGTTGCTGAGATTTTGATGTGGCATTGTAAAATATAATGCTATCAAGGAGATTTTTCACCATTAAATAGCAAATAAGTGACATTAATTAAGCTATCGTGTCTTTGCTGACCTGTTCTGTATGTTTCTGGTCCTGAATACCTCATGGCTAGCAGAATCTTCTGCTCAGACTGGGGTAGGGAGAAGGTGGAGGTGGTGGGTTTATTGGTGTACTTACCTCTTAAAACGTAGTTGGCTTTTACTTTTTCTTTTATTCATTTTGCTTTCAGATATATTTGTTAAGTATATTTTGTGTAGGTTCTCCCATCACCCCCAATCCTCCTGTATTTGCTTAGTGTATGTTTTGAGGAGATTCATGGTTTTTGCTTTGGCTCAGCAGGATAAATGTTCTACCTTGTAGTAGTTTAGATTTCATTTTGTTATTAAAAGTCAAGCTGTAGTGCTTATTTTTACCTGCAGCAAATTTCAAACTGTTTAGGTGTAAAGATGTAGGATTTTGAAGAGTAGAGTTTAATAAAATATGGAATATTACTATACAATGCTTGTAGCTTCTTATTCCAGAGGCATCATTGTATAGTCCAGGCTTACTGCAATTCCATTTTATCTTCTTTTGGAGAAAGTTAAGTTTCCTCTGTAAATTGAAAATGTCTGAAAATATTTTGGTATAATTAATGTTAGACACTGATAATATATTATGTTTTTTAATATCAAAGGTTTTTTTCCATGGTATTAATGAACTTTGTTTTTTCTACTTTAGGGGAATATATAAAAAACTGGCGGCCAAGATATTTCCTGCTAAAGACAGATGGCTCTTTCATAGGCTATAAGGAGAAGCCCCAGGATGTGGATCTGCCATATCCACTCAACAACTTTTCGGTGGCAAGTACGTATTCCCAGTATTTATTGTTCTCTCAGCATATTGACAAAATATCTCCTACATATTGCTTCATGTGTAGTTCAGAATTTATTCGTAACGCTGGAAGTTTAATGCCGTGTGTCAGACTAGTGCACCACTAATCTTATGTCCAGCTCTACAAGATCTCTTTCCAAGAGCATTGAAGATTTTACCATGGGTTGTTTTTCGAATATTTTTGGAAGTTCTCATTTTTGTGTGTCTGTCTGAAGTGCCTGTAATTAACAATAATATTTGACAAATGACTGTTGTGTGAAGAAAATTCCTGGAAAGCTTACCTTTATTCAGATCATTGACCTCTTTTCTCTTTTTCAGTAGTATCTCTGAATTCACTTGAAAACTCAAATTAATTAGAAAATTATCTAGACTGTCAAATGACACAAAATCATGCTAAATTATTTTTCTCTTGGATAATCAGGTAATCAGCTCTTCAGCCTGGTTAATCAGTAATTTCAAGCAATCAGACAATTTGCATATATTAGCAAAGCTACCAAGTGTGTATCTGTTGGATAAAGTGAAGACATTTTGATTTCTTGTTTTCCAAGAATGTTTCTAAAAGTCAAATCTGTAGTTATTTTGATCTGGCAAAGTGAGATTGGTAGAAGAGAGTTTCTGAACAGAAATGAAAATATCTGAGAAGCAAAACTAAGGGGGCAAAAAATCTCCCTGAGTATGAGTTGTGGATATCATAGCTAGAAACTTTCAAAGGAACACTAGAAAATTTACTTTCAAAATTATATTAGTGTTCTGCAATACAATAAATGGCGGTGCTTAGTTTTATAGAGTATTAGAGCCACAGGAGCATGTGTACTTAGGGGAATGGTTCATCTGCATTGCTGAAGATGCGACAAATGCTACTGAGACCGAATTTACCTATTTTCTTGATGAAATTGTTCTTGAGATTATCTCAGCCTTTGTATATGAAGTAATTTGGGTATTTTATTTGGTAAGAAAACAAACTTGTGCTCCAAGCCCATGTCTCGACCCACAGCTAGAGGAGGAAAACTTTGGTTGTTCTGATCGTGACAGAAGTCTTACAGATGATACTGAGCGCACAAGGCTTCTAATAATATTAGAGACTCGTTTCACCTTGTTGCTCCTCAGCATAAAAAGCAGCGACGTCTTTAAGTTGTTCACATGAGTAGGAACTGACTAGACTGTAGGCTATTGCTCCTTAGTTATTGCTCTGAATATCCTAACCTACTCATTTATAGCAGTTAGTAGTTTCCTAGATAATTTTCTTCAATGTGCAACAGAAAGAACATTTGTAGAACTGCAGTAGGTTTTTTTGTTGTTTTACCATGTTCTTCATTGCGTATCTGGTCTTCCTTTGCAACTAGTAGTTCTGCTAAGTGAAAAAATGCTTAATTAGCAATTAATTCCACTGTGTTGATACTGGTGTGTGGTTTTGTTTGTTTGTTTGTTTTGATAACCAGAGGTGATCTTATGTAATTCTTACATTAAAATGCTGCCCCTGAACTTTGCCTTGATGGAAATTGGAAGATTTCATATTGTTTTCCAAAATGACACCATCACCACCACTACCCACCTCCAAAAAAAAAAAAAAAAAAATCCTTCCTGCAACTAGCAAGCCTCATAGGTCTGACTTTTTTAGGCAATGTAAGTTAAAGGAACAGGCATGCAATATTAGAAGAAATACAGTTTCGGTAAGCAAGATGAGTTTTTCTGTTTTCTGGCAGGAAAAGGAGTAATTTAATCAGACATGATTGCTGATCACTGCAAGAATAGGGAGATTTTTCATTCACGAAAAGAATTCCATAAAATTAAGTCAAGTACCTATGTAGAATTCACAGGAGGAAAAGCAAAATGTTATAGTATTACACCCTAAATTGCAAGGGACTGTATTTTTTTCATCAGCTGTTTTCTCTGTCTGAAGATGAGATCATCAGTAGGGCAAACAAACAAACGAAATCGCTATATGAATGAATCAGATCTCATGGGCAGTACCTGGTAAATGTCAAGAACTGGTCTCATGGCCTCTGATCCAAGAGTTCCTGAGCTGCTGCAGTAGGTTTGTGGCCACAAGCACTGCAACATATTTTTCCTGTAATAGTGAAGTACATTTTTCATAAATTACTAGCCAGGCAGATGGAGTGTGAGATCACTGTTAATACCATCTTGATTAGGTTGGCAGGGACTTAAAGATATGTCTTTACAGTCCTATCTTCATGTAATCTTTGTAGCTATCTGTAAAGTGAGAGTGTGGTCTCAGTCTACTTTTTGCTCTCCAAATGATAGACATCTTTGGCTCTTGCTTACAGCTTGTTATTTAAGCAGAAAAGGCCAAGGCTGTGGTATTATTTTCATAGTACTGTTGGAGTTGAACACTGGGAAGTTTGCACAGATCTGCTTTATATACTTATTCTGTAGTTTAAAACTTTTATATCCAGCTCTGTCAAAGTAGTTACTTCCATCATATGGATTTTTTTCCACCAGTGTCTGCTGCTGCCTTCTTCTGCAACACCAGCTTTACTTTTGCAAAAGGCTCTTTCCCAGGCATAGTATCATTTTCCCTAGAGTGGCTCCCTGATTTCTTCCAAGATAAATTTAGTCCCACACCTGAGCATTACTCTCTCTCTGGTCTTGTGTTGTCTGCATACTCCATTCGGAATGACAGAAAGGCTGGAGAGAATGAAGTTATTTTACATACTGCTGATGGTGCTCCCAGTGCTAAATATGTCTTTGTTAACGAAGCCTTTTTCATTGGGTGGTGTTTTGTCATAGGTTGGAGTGTTCACAGTCCATCCCTTTTCCTTGTGGTGATCTGGGAAGAAATGTGAGGGGAATGTGTAAACAGGTAGATGCTTTAGGTAGAGAGGGAGAGCCTGAGGCAGAGCACGCACGCTTCAGCCCATTGCTGGCTGTCCAAAATGCAGGGGAGCCGCATGGGCCTGAAATGGGTGTGAGGGAGCTCTTCTCCTTGGAGCATAAGTGTGTCCCTGAATGTGAAACGGAGTTGACTGATGGGTATGACTGAGTGGGGCTGGATGGAGCTGAGCCCTGGGGAAGGATACAGGACTGGCCCCTCAGTGTCCTGGACAGAGGCTTCACTTTGCCTCCCCGTGGCCGCTGCTCTCCTGCCTTTGGGCACATGAGAAAGGCGGTGGTGAGCACCCCATGTTGCATCTGCGGAGCTGCCACAAGGTTGCAGGGGTGAACAAATCAGCCAGATCTGGTGATACTGGATAGTGTGTAGGAATCACCCTGGTGTCTCTCCTGTGGAGCCAGCTTATTGTACACCAAACAGAGCCTTCTTTTTTTAACATGGAAATTGAGAGACCTGTGTATTTGAAGTATGCTTTTAGTTCCTTAATGCTTATGCCCTGACACTTAGACTCACAAAAAGTTGTGCCGTGGTATCTAACCGTACACTTGAAGATAAATGAAGGCAATGTAATTACAGCGGTGGAAATTCATTGTGGAAACTTAAAGCTGGTTGATACTGGTTTTCAAAGGTTGAATCAGAAGTGTGAGCTTACTTGAATTGTCTGGTTCAAAATCAGTTCAGCTCTTTTCAGGTAGAGACAAGCAGTTGCAAGTAATCAAGCTATTATAGCTTAAAGAGATACTCTTGATTGACTGAGTCACGGTAACTGAGTGGGTGTGCATTCCTAGCCCACTTCAACTGCAAAATAAAATATGTTAATGTAAATTGCTTTTGCTTAGGCATTTATGCAGTCAGAACCAGTGTAAAAATAATTTGGATTCAATTGGTATAACTTTTCTATACGGGCAGAGGCCTGAAAAAAATGTTCTGACTTTTAAAACTCCATTATGCTTCTTGGGAAAAAACCTGGTACTCTGGGTGACACAATGTGTACACTAGGTGCGCCCCCCCCCTCCAAAATCAATGTGGCCTCACAACACTGTTTTTAACGGGTCCAGTGTTGCATTAAGTGGAGTCAACACTGCTTTGTGTAAACCACTTTGGGTTTTGATTATTATTAGGGAAAGCAGAGTGGGGAAGAATTCTACTTCAATTCTACTTAAGGAGCATTTGTGGCTTTTCTGATAAAAAGATACTTCTCACGTATGCCATGAGTATGTAGGTAATCACGTAGCACATTTGGGATGAAGTATCTCTAAGAATTGGCCCTTTGCCTTCATTTTGATCTTTACATGGGGAATAATTGGGAAGAGCTGTATCCCTTCACAGTAGCCTTTGAGCTTTGGCCAAAAATGATGTCACCTGGAATTTCTTTCCTATCTTGAAAGAGAGTGCTTTCTAAGTACACAGTACCCTTTTTCTTGTATTTGAAAAGAAAAAGTGAATTTTAGTTGTTGTGAGAAGGTAACCTTTTGTAACCTTTATTTTATTTTTCTCTGCAGAAATGATTATTGATGAACCTTGGCTATTCTAAATGGAGAAGCTGTGCTACTTTTTCCTAATCTTTCAGTGGGCCAGAGACAAGGTTTTATTATTTTTGGGGTTTAAAAATCTTCAAAACATGAAAATTGAAAGATTTCAGGGGAATGATGTTTAGGGCTATAAAGAATTCTGAAAACACTCTGAAGAAATATATATGTATGTTTTAAGTGAGATGCATCAAAATACTTCAGCATTAGGCATGGCCTTGTGTGCAACTCCGTAATTAACTTTTCAGTGAGATTTAAGTTTAAAGTCTCATTTTTTTTTTAATTGTCCCAAAACTGGATGACATGAACCCAGAGATAAGCATGTAACTGTGGATACTTATAATTACAGTATAGAATTCATTCCAAAATAATAATGGTCAATTGAATAAATAATTTTCATTCAACACTGAAAATACTTGTGGGGAGAAAAAGGCAATGTATGTGTAATGTACTGCATATGCAAATGCATCTATGGAAATTCAAACTCAAATCTACTGTGTATAACCAATGTTACTGTCTGTGTTAGATGGGGAAATGTTTAGCTTTCTGAAAAACTGGGCCAGTAATTTTCTTTGAGAGGCTTTCATATTACT